TTTTTTTTAAGCAATCGTACTGCTTTAACTGCATAGGGACAAAATATAAAGCGCGTAAGCGCCGCGTCGCTGTCTAACGCATAAGCATTGGTACGGAACCCATAGGAATGTTAACAAAATGTATACTTATTGTCAAAATCTCTATAAAATATCTGATAATTTGATGTGCATATGTCTAATGATCATTTTTGACCGCCAAATGGCTCATTTTTTTTACTTTTTCCTCCATATCTCCGAAACCGCTAGACCTACATTCATGAAAATTTTATCGATTCTTCATCTTATCAATACAAGTGAAATGTTTTTTGAATAGTTCAAATCGGACGCTCCGTTCTCTTAAAAACTGAGTTACTGTTTTCGGCACTTTTTGCCCCGTATCTTCGGAACGGTTAGACCTGCCTTTGCCAAAAACTAATCAGCACGTCTCCTTATCAATACGAATCGAATGTTTTTTGAATTATTCAAATCAGTTGATCCGTGTTCCCGAAATCGTCGACGAAAATTTGTATCCGCACATACATACACACACGTACATACATACATACACACACACACACACACACACACATACATCAATTTTTTCTGAGGTATGCCAAAATATTCAGAAACCTCTGAAACGTAAAGATATATAAAAATTTTCATTTTTGATTTTTTTGCGATTACTATAACTTGCCCTACGGGAAGTTAAAAATACATCCAGCGCTTTACAAACTTCCTTCTATCGACTTGGAGACATTTTACCGATTTAAAAAAATCCTTTTTTAATTAACTCAGTTGTTAATTCGGTTTTTCGTAGTATAATCTTCTCAAGTACTTGCAGTGATTCGTTCAAGTGTTACAAATTAATAACTATCAAAATCATTCGCTTGACTATTAACATTCCTATATTTTGCATGAACTGGGTTCCGCGGTTTGAGAATTGTTGAAATACTTGTCTTGTTCTTTTTTTCCTCGTTTATTTTTTTTCGAACTCACAAAATATGATACCAGAAACGTGAGGGTCTTTTGTACCCCTTATGACAGGTGTGAGGAAGACCCTATGTAAAAGTCGAGGAAGACCAGGAAGGGTCAGTTATTCGATGAATATAATATAATATCAGAGTCCAATAATCGGGCATTACATAAGTAAATATACATTTTTTTTTTGAAAAATTTGTTTTAAAATATATACGCTTTAGCTATAGTCCTAGAATTCCTTTGGTGTAAAAATATGATTAGCCAATTTACAGAAAAAGTGTTTACAGAAAAAAACAGATATTGGTATGAGTTTATTGTAATACACTAAACTATAAAATATTTTTTTGTGCTTATTAATTTATTATATCGTATACGATCCATTTTTTTTATAACTGACTCTTTTTATTATTCTTTTATTTACAAACTTTACTTATTCTTAACTTCTAATTTTATTCTATCTTAAATCAACTTAACTTCAATCCATCGAATCAAATGACAATTCTATGTCAGTGTCAGGACTCGAACCGCGTAACCCATAACTTATATAGTTACACTAAACTTAATGTATTTATAACAATATTATGTTATGTTAGTAAATTTTTTATGTTATTTTACAAAATTATTCAGTTTGTTCGTCAGTCGAGTTTATCTCGCTTTTTTCGAGAATCTATAATAATTAGTTATTTCGTTTATTAATATTTACGTCATTATTTTGCTCGTCAGTAGAGTCCTTTTCTCAGTTACAAAGTGTAATCTTTCACTAGTTTTTCCTCGAGTTGATAATTATCAGACTGCTCTTTTGTAAAGTCCCTTAATATCTTAAAAAGTGTATTATTCTAGATTATTTGTCAGTAGAGTCCTTTTATTTATTACAAACTGATATTATTAACTTCCCGTAGAGTAGTTATAGTAATCGCATAAAAAATCGAAAATGTAAAATTTTGCATATCTTTACGTTTTAGAGATTTCTGAACATTTTGTCATACCTTAGAAAAAATGGAAGTGTGTATGTGTATGTGTGTATGTGCGGATAAGATTTTTTGTCTACGATTTCGAGAACACGGTTCAACCGATTTAAATGATTTTCAAAAACATTAGATTCCTATTGATAAGGAGACATGCTGATTAGCTTTTGGCAAAGGCAGGTCCAGTCGTTTAGGAGATACGGAGCTGCAAATTGTAGTTCTTGAGAGAACGAAGCATCTGATTCGAATGATTCAAAAAACATTTTGCTCGTGTTGACTATGAAAAGAGACAATCAATATCTGGGAAAAGCAATTTTTAGTTCCTTTTTTTTAAAAAAAATTTACAACTAATTTTTCTTTTTGAATATCAAAAATAGTTCGGATTTTAATTCTAGCTAAAATTTTAAAGTTAACTTATATACTTAAAATAAATAATTTAAGCTTTGCAATTCAGTTTGATTAAGTTCTGTTCATTTACTTTTTATATAAACGTAGTAGTCCAATTTATAAGTTCTTATATTATGTCTATAAAATAGGAATAATGAAACTTACAGTATTTATAATAACATATTTGAAAACATTTAATATTTCTCGAACATTTCATTGAGGTACGGAAAGTTTTTGCAATTTTCCTTAAGGCACGATGCCATACATCACTAGTTTGCATGGTTTAGACAAAAAATCACAAAATATTACGTAAGGGAGGGGTCAAGTAATATATCACCTGTAATTATTTTTCACCTAATTTTTTTTTTAAAAAAACCAAAAGTTAAAAAAAAAATCAAAATTTTATAATTTTTTCTCGTAACTAAAAATATTAGGTTGTCAAATATCTCCCTTCCGCTTTTTGCTCTTGTTATAATACAAAAAGGCGGAAGGGAGATATTTGACAACCTAATACATATGATGTTTGGTTGGGGATTGGTGTAATTTTGAATATAACCACGTATCACCAAGGGGTCTTAAAAAATCCTTAAAAAATCGATCACGTTATTAATGTACGCACCCTAAGTGAACGACACTTACACCTCAATTCATTTTTGGTTTCAATTCCATAATATCATGGTCCTAAGAGATGTTTTTACTGTTTTTTTATTATATTACAAAATGTAAATTTTTCTCTTGAAATGTTAAATTTCCTCCGAGTGAAGAATGAAGTCGGCCTCTACTACACATAACTAATAAAATTACATAAATCTACAAGACTTCACCGGTATAGAGGAATGGATACACCGACACCGTGCCGGACCTAACTTTCCGATTACAAGGCTAACATTGTACGCATATTTATTGATATATAATATACACAATATATATATACAATATATACATCAATATATATACATATTTATGTATACTAGATGACCCGACAGACGTTGTCCTGTACCCACGTCTACAATTCAAAAGCTCCAAATTTTTTAATATCCCATCCTATACTTTTTAATATCCTATTTGATGTTCTGCCTTTAAGATTCATTTATGGTCCTATCATAAGCAGTATAAGAAATTTAGAAAAAAATAATATAGTATCTGCGCTAAAAGAGCAATATCACACTTGATTTTACCACACAACATAATTGCTTCAATAATTTAGTCTATAATTTTTATAATCACGTACGATATATTAGTTGCTTTTTGGCAATTATAATTTCTAAAGAACATTATTCTTACTAACAGTTTTATAAACATTATTGTTTATGTTCAAATCTTAGATGAATTTGTGAAATCTAGTTCATATGTGCACTATTCAATCTAAGATCAACTTGCTAAATATTCCATATCCAATGCCGAATAAATGAATTTTTGACTCATGAAACAAAATTCTAAAACATTTTGAATAAGTAAAAGTATTTTTGGTATTGTTAAATAATTCAGTAAAGTAAACCAAATAAATAATGTACATACATTTTTGGGCTTGTTGCGTTATTTATTGAACTGAATTATATAATTTCATCTGCCCAACACATATACTGTTGACTGTATCTTATATTATTTTAATTTCTGGCACATCTTAGCTGCTTTTCGGCAATATTAATATGAACATTACATTTTTCTTGTATATTATATTCTAATATTATATAGACTCATAATTTCAGCTAAATTTGAATTACAAGTGAATCGACATTTCTAGCAGATGACAGGCAATGTCAAACAATGATAAGTGGTTTTCTCTAATTTTTTGTCATTTATTTCTACAATATTACTATAGTTTTATCGTTCATTAAAACTTAAAGATTCCCTTTGACAAACTCTAAAAAGAATTATCAAAATCCGAATAACCGTTTAGGAGAAGTATCAAATCATACACCCGTACAGAAGAATTTTATATACAAGATATATTATATAATTTGGATATAAAATCTAACGTGCTGATTCTATGAGTCTATATTCTTAATTCGCTCAAAATATTATTGTAAGTGTAATAGTTATTCATGATGACTTGTTTTTTGTTGTCTGGTAAAACTAAGGAGAAAACATATACTTCGAAGTGACACTTATAAATAAAATAGGAATAAATGAATCTAAAGTTGAGATTTAACAAGTGGCAAGTTATTAGTTTAAGACAAGAACCGCTCTCTTTGGATAACTATGAAAAAATAATAATAAACTAGTGGTGTATGGTATCGCGAATTAGGGAAAATTGCTGGTACTTTCTGTACCTTGTCAATACAAACAGAATTTAATGGAATTTAATGTTTTTTGAATAATTTAAATAGGTTCAGCGGTGCTCTCGAAAGAGTTGACGATTATATACACACACATACAAACCCACACACAGGCATCAATTTTTTCTGAGGTGTGCCAAAATATTCAGAAACTTCAAATGCAAAAATTTTCAATTTCGATTTTTGGACGATTATAATAACTTATCTTATGGAAAATTAATTAATAATAAAAAGGAGACTTTTGGTTCAGAAATTTATATATATACATACATATATATA